ACACATCAGTTGGAAGAAATGAGTGATGCGCAACCATTATTGCCAGAGGATGTAGATAACAGGGATTTGTCTCAGTCAGGCAGCATTACACACTTGGACGTACGGTGTGATGATGATGATGATGATGTTGTACCCACTGCTGCTTCCTTTGCTGAGTTGTCAGATACAAGTGAAGCAGTTGATGATGACGATGCGTCCGTGGATGTCAGTTCAGATGGGGAGACAGAGAGGAGGAGGAGAAGACGAGTTGGAAGCAGGGGGAGGTTGTTGCAAGGAGCTAGTGGCACAGTCAGACAGCATGCATCGGCACCCGGGGTCAGCCAGACAGCACGCCAATCAGTGTTGCCACCACCAGAATGCCGTCATTGCAGAGCTCAGCAGTGTGGCATTTTTTTATTTATTTTTTTATTTATGTTTTATTGTTTTAGTTCGAGTGGTTCAGGGTACAGAAGAGAAGATAGGAGGGTTAGTCAGACAAGTCATCGTGGCATTACTGGTTATGGAACATCATATTACAAGTATGCGTTGGATATTTGTTTCATTGTGACATTAATGGCTACGGGGCATCATAATACAGATACATGTTGAACATTGTTCATTGTTACCTTGATGGTTATGAGATAGCATAATACAATTATGTGTTGAACATTTATTTCATCGTCATCTTCACAATGAGTTGTCAATGGCGCGGGAGAGCCTAGTTGTCTTATGTCTCCTCCCGTCTTCTCAAGATTCTGGGTGGTATGAACCTGGTTGGGGGTCAAGAACCTGTGAGGGGAGCCGATAGCGGCGGGGGGGGGGGGGGGAGAGGTGCGTGAGTAGTACCTATGGTCGTTTGGTTGATATCCTAACCTGGAGTCAGTGTTATGGTGGGGGGGAAGGGGTAATTCAGGGTGTACTCCTAGTCAGTGGTTTTGGCAGTGTTTGCCAGTGTTCGTGCCCTTTCGTTTGTTCGTCCAAACTCTTTATCCCATTTTCCCCAAGTAGCCTCAAATTGTAGTATTTTTGTCGAGGATGTGATTGCCATTCTTTCGTATATATGTGAAATTGCTCTACTTTATCTGTCAACTGTGGCAGGGAAGGGCAGTCTTGGGATTTCCAATTAAGTGCTAGGAGATTTCTTGATGCTAGTAAGACCAGCGCCATTATTTGTTTTTGGCCTGGGTTTAGTCCTGCTGGGAGCAGTAGCAGTAGGCAGATGGATGCCGTCAGTTCGAATTTTGGGATATCTAGTGTGTCTAAGATTGACCTTGCTGTAGTCCAGAGAGGTTTAATGTCTCTACAGGACCACCACAGGTGTAGTAGTGTGCCCGGGGCTGATTTACATCTCCAGAACATCGGATTTGTCGTGGGGAATAACTGGTGAAGTCTTTGTGGGGTCATATACCACCGGTACATGAGTTTCCTGTGGGTTTTTACATGTGAGAAGCACTTTGTCCATTTGGACAACCCGTTTAATGCATGGAGCCACTCTGTGTCTGATAGGGTTATGTCACAGTCCTTTTCCCTTTGCGTTTTGTGCGGATGTGGTTTTGTTGGCGTGAGTTCTTGCCATGTTTTATAGCACAATGTGAGTGTTTTAGGTGTGTTAGGTGAGGACCAACATCTGTCAATGAGTAACGGTGAGGTAACCTGTGGTGGGCCTCTTGGGTTGTGCAAGGGTATCGCGTGTGCTTGTAGTACACTTTTTACCTGTAGGTATAAGAAAGATGGCTCGGCTTGGGAGTTGCCACTGTGTTTGTAGTGTTGGGAAGGGTGTCACTTTCCCTTCCGTCATCAGTTGGGATATGTTTTTGATTCCTGCTTTGTGCCAGTCATGGAGTGGTATGTCTGGTACTATTGCCCTGAGGGTCGAGATGGGTGATTTAGGGTGGAGGGAGTTGTTGTAGCCTATGGTTCCCATAAATTCGTCCCACACTGCTATCGTAAGTTGGGTGGTTGGGAAGAGATCGTGTCGATTCAATCTTAAATGTCTGGGTGTCCATAGGTATTCAAGTAGGGATTGATTACGGAATTGCGCCCTTTCCATATCTACCCATTGGGTTGTGTTAGGTTTAGTTTATAGTATGAGACGTTTCCGAATTGTTGTAGGAGTTTCAGCATATGGAGTAGGGAGTGGGTGGGGTCTGTCAATGCCACAAAGATGTCATCGGCAAAGAGGGCTAGGCTGTATGTTTTGTCTTGTATAGGAATCCCCTGTATGTCGGGGTATAATCTGATTTTATGTGCTAGGGGTTCCAGGGCCAGTATGTACAGAAGGGGGGATAGGGGGCATCTTTGTCGGGTACCATTCATGATGGAGAAGGGGTGAGACAGGAAGCCTCCATGAGAGACTCTGGCTGCTGGCTTGTGGTATAGCGCCATTATACTTTTAATGGTGGATGCAGGAAAGTTAAATTTGTGCAGAGTTTTAGCCATGTACTCCCAATTTAATCGGTCGAAGGCCTTCTCCGCGTCAAGTGCGAGGAAGAGGCCCTTCGAATCGCCTGTGTCCAGTGTTGACAGCATGTTCAGAATTTTCCTGGTGTTGTCAGAGCCTTGACGGCCTTTTACGAACCCCGACTGGTCATTGTGTCTTACTTGGTTCTCGTTTGTTGGAGTGTGTCAGCGTAGTGATTTCTGCTACCAGCGAGTTATAGTTTGCTAACCTTATTTTTTTAGCTCGACATGTTTTATAAGACTACCTCGTATGACCGCTTTATGTGCTAGCCAGATCTGTTCTATGGGGGAGTTAGTTATCGTGTTTTCGGTGAAATAGTGTTGGAGGTCTGTAGTGATCTGTGCCACTATGGAGGGATCTGTTAGGAGGGACTCGTTTAGTCTCCAAGTGCCTGTCCCTTTATTGGGGAATATTTCCTTAATGCTGAGGGTAACAGGTGCATGGTCAGACCATGTCATTGTTCCACTAGTGGCTTCTTCTATGTTAGGCATGAAGGTGGTGGGGATAAGAAAGCGGTCTATTCGGGAGTAGCTTTTGTGTGCCACTGTGTGACATGTGTAATCCACCTCTGTGGGGTGGAGGATGTGCCATGGGTCTACCAAGTGGTTGGAGGCTAGTGTGGTGCATACCTTGGTTGCTAGAGCCGCTCTTTGCCGTAAGGTGCTTCGTGAGAGCCCCACAGCAGTGGACGAATCAGATTCGCTGTCTAGTAGGAAGTGCGTGTCGCCTCCAATAATTACCTCCCCATATTTATACATTTCAAGTAATGGCAGGGTCGAGGTTAAGAATTCATGTTGATTCTCATTAGGACTGTAAATATTGACTAAAGTGTATGGGTTGTTATTAAGAAGGCATTGCAAAATCAGGTAGCGCCCTTTTCTATCATTTATCTTGCGGACCAGAGAAAACACTACATCTTTGCTTATTAAGATGGAAACTCCCCTTTGTTTGGCTGTATAGCAGGTGTGGAAGTCATGGGGGAACCATTTGGAGGTAAATTTAGGTCTTTCTTTCCACCTAAAGTGCGTCTCCTGGAAGAACGCCACTAGGGCACCACATTTCCTAGCCTCCTGTGTGGCCAACCTGCGTTTATTCGGGGAGTTGAGTCCCTTCGTGTTTAGGGACATAATTTTAATCACCATAATGCAGTTGTATGGTGCGCTGTAACCTTAAGTATGAAGGACCCAGGGTTTCGTTGTAGGTTGGGTACTGTATAATTTGTGGGTATACTCACAAGGGAGGGGGGGGCAACAGGGTAATAACTATATACAATATTCCGTGTGTCACCATGTGGGGACATCGGGTTGCGTAAAGCAAAGGACAAGTATAGCTCGTAGGAGCCTTAAGAGCCTTGGGGGTGGCCCACTTGGGCGAATTGTCATGATTCACAACTTATGTGATCTATAACAGTGCTAAGGTCAAACAAGGGGAGTCCGGGTGTTGCTCCACCCGGTCGCGGCCTGGGCTAAGGGCTTTTAACCGACAATACCAGAATAGATTACAAGGGGTTAAGTAATTAGTAGTAGAACTATAGAAAGTGTACTTCCAGTCCATTCGGTTTTCACCGATCTTGCTATGATCTGGTGGTTTCTTCATGTTGGAGTTCTGCGGTCTGTGGGTGTGCGCGGAGCTTTTGTTGTCCGTTCCCAGTCTTTAGTGAGAGGTTTTGGTGCAGTGATCTGTGGTGGTCCTTTAGGACTGCTTGTCTGTAGTGGGATATTCCATTCCTGGAGGATCTTCTTTCCATCATCCGGGCTGAGTATTGATTTGTCAATCCCATTCCGCTTGATTAACAATTTTGTAGGGAAACCCCACTTGTATGGGATATTTGCTGCTCGCAGTGCTGCAGTGATAGGCGCAAACGTGTGTCGTGCAAGCATGGTCGTTGATGAGAGGTCTATGAAGAGTTTAATGTCAGTATAAGGTTCCGGCCAGTGGCCTGCCATTCTAGCTGCCTGCATGATGCGGTCCTTGACCGGGTAGTAGTGGACCCTTGTGATGGTATCCCTTGTTGTGTCAGACGGGAGATGTTTAGGCTTGGGGAGACGGTGTGTTCTGTCCAGGATCAATTCTGTGTCCGTCAGTGAGGGGATAAGCATCTTAAATAGATCTTGCACATATTGGGTTAATCCTGTCTGTGTAACAGATTCTGGGATACCTCTTATGCGTATGTTATAACTTTGACTTCTATCCTCCTGTTCTGCAACTTTCCCTTCCAATGCTTTTATCTTTTGTGTTAGGGAAGTGTAGGCCTCTGCCATGGAGTTGTGCGCATCAATTAACTCCTCTGTGCGCTCTTCCAGGCACGCAGTGCGTTCCCCTATGCTGTTAATGTCTGACCTGATGTCTGCTGCCATTTGCTGCAGGTCTGCTTTAAATGAGGCTTTCAATTCCTGCATGATCGATCTTATAGAGGAGTTTGTCGCCGGGCTGTCCTGGCTGTGTCTACTGTCTCCTGTTTCAGAATCGCATGCTGGAGATTTGGGCCTATCGGCGCCATCTTGCTCACCATGCTCCATAGCTTGATTCCTTTCCAGGTGGGCATGCATGGTTTTTTGTTTCATTTTTTTGTGCGGTTTCGTCGCCATCGGGTGGAAGCCATGGAGTTGTGCGCATCAATTAACTCCTCTGTGCGCTCTTCCAGGCACACAGTGCTTTCCCCTATGCTGTTAATGTCTGACCTGATGTCTGCTGCCATTTGCTGCAGGTCTGCTTTAAATGAGGCTTTCAATTCCTGCATGATCGATCTTATAGAGGAGTTTGTCGCCGGGCTGTCCTGGCTGTGTCTACTGTCTCCTGTTTTAGAATCGCATGCTGGAGATTTGGGCCTATCGGTGCCATCTTGCTCACCATGCTCCATAGCTTGATTCCTTTCCAGGTGGGCATGCATGGTTTTTTGTTTCATTTTTTTCTGCGGTTTCGTCGCCATCGGGTGGAAGGTGAATTCCCCTTGTGGTTGCTGTATTTAACCGGTATTTCGTCGGTTACTCCACGTTGTGATAGCCGCAGTATCGGAGGAGCTCCGGTCCCACACATCCGCTCACATGCGCGGTCAGGACACGCCCCCGGTGTGGCATTTTTTTTGTGTGTCTGCCTCTGACAACAGAGATGCCATTTGCAATCTGTGCCAAAAGAAACTGAGTCATGGGAAATCCAACACCCACCTGGGTACAACTGCTTTGCGAAGGCACATGATCGCACATCACAAACGCCTATGGGATCAACACATGAGTACAAGCAGCACACAAACTCAAAGCCGCCATCCTCCTCCTGGTCCAGCATCTTCAGTCACATTAACCACTGCTGTCCTCCTTGCCCCCTCTCAACCATCCGCCCCTCCGTCTCTCGCCTTGAGCAGTTCCTGCTCATCTGCCCACACTCAGGTGTCTGTCAAGGACATGTTTGAGCGTAAGAAGCCAATGTCACAAAGTCACCCCCTTGCCCGGCGTCTGACAGCTGGCTTGACTGAACTCTTAGCCCGCCAGCTTTTACCATACAAGCTGGTGGAGTCTGAGGCGTTCAAAAAATTTGTAGCTATTGGGACACCGCAGTGGAAGGTACCCGGCCGAAATTTCTTTGCACAAAAGGCAATCCCCAACCTGTACTCGATTGTGCAAAAGGAAGTAATGGCATGTCTGGCACACAGTGTTGGGGCAAGGGTCCATCTGACCACTGATACCTGGTCTGCAAAGCATGGTCAGGGCAGGTATATCACCTACACTGCACATTGGGTAAACCTGCTGACGGCTGCCAGGCATGGAATGCGTGGCTCTGCAGAGGAGTTGGTGACACCGCCACTACTTGCAGGCAGGCCTGCTGCCACCTCCTCTACTCCTCCTACTCCATCCTCTTCCATAACCTCCTCGGCTGAGTCCTCTTCTGCTGCTGCGTCTTGCTCCAAATCAATGGCACCCCCCCAGCTCCCCAGGTACTATTCCACATCCCAGATACGGCAGTGTCACGCCATCTTGGGGTTGACTTGCCTGAAAGCAGAGAGTCACATCGGACCAGCACTCCTGTCTGCCCTGAAAGCACAGGTGGATCAGTGGCGGACTCCGCACCAACTGGAGATTGGCAAAGTGGTTTGTGACAACGGAAGAAATTTGTTGGCGGCATTGCATTTGGGCAAGTTGACACATGTGCCCTGCATGGCACATGTGTGTAATCTGATCGTACAACACTTTGTGCATAAGTACCCATGCTTACAGGATGTCCTGAAGCAGGCCAGGAAGGTATGTGGCCATTTCAGGCATTCCTACACGGCCATGGCGCACTTTTCAGATACCCAGCGGCGAAAAAACATGCCAGTGAGGTGCTTGATTTGCGACAGCCCGACACGTTGGAATTCAACACTCCTAATGTTCGACAGCCTGCTCCAACAAGAAAAAGCCGTTAACAAGTATTTGTATGACCGGGGTGCTAGGACAGCCTCTGCGGAGCTGGGAATTTTTTTGCCACGTTACTGGACGCTCATGCGCAATGCCTGTAGGCTCATACGTCCTTTTGAGGAGGTGACAAACCTAGTCAGTCGCACCGAAGGCACCATCAGCGACATCATACCATTTGTTTTCTTCCTGGAGCATGCCCTGCGAAGAGTGCTGGATCAGGCCGTAGATGAGCGTGAAGAGGAAGAGTTGTGGTCACCATCACCACCAGAAACAGCCTTATCAGCATCGCTTGCTGGACCTGCGGCAACGCTGGAAGAGGATTGTGAGGAAGAGGAGTCAGAGGAGGAATGTGGCTTTGAGGAGGAGGAGGAAGACCAACCACAACAGGCATCCCAGGGTGCTCGTTGTCACCTATCTGGTACCCGTGGTGTTGTACGTGGCTGGGGGGGAAGAACATACCTTCAGTGAGATCACTGAGAACGAGGAACAGGACATGAGTAGCTCAGCATCCAACCTTGTGCAAATGGGGTCTTTCATGCTGTCATGCCTGTTGAGGGACCCTTGTATAAAAAGGCTGAAGGAGAACGACCTGTACTGGGTGTCCACTACTAGACCCCCAATATAAGCAGAAAGTGCCTGAAATGTTACTGAATTACGGCAAGTCGGAAAGGATGCAGCAGTTCCAAAATCAATTAAAAAGTATGCTTTACACAGCGTAAAAGGGTGATGTCACAGCACAACGGGAATCTAACAGGGGAAGAGGTGAAAGTAATCTTCCTCCACCCACGACCACGCCGGCAAGGACAGGACGTTTTACAGACGTGTTGTTGATGGAGGACATGCGGAGCTTTTTAAGTCCTACGCATCGCCACAGCCCATCGGGGTCCACCCTCAGAGAATGACTCGATCGACAGGTAGCAGACTACCTCGCCTTAACTGCAGATATTAACACTCTGAGGAGAGATGAACCCCTTGACTACTGGGTGTGCAGGCTTGACCTGTGGCCTGAGCTATCCCAATTTGTGATAGAACTTCTGGCCTGCCCCGCTTCAAGTGTCCTGTCAGAAAGGACCTTCAGTGCAGCAGGAGGTATTGTCACTGAGAAGAGAAGTCACCTAGGTCAAAAAAGTCTAGATTACCTCACCTTTATTAAGATGAATGAGGGATGGATCCCGAAGGGACTGACAGTGGGCGATACATTCGACTAAAAAAGGCCTGATGAGGGGGACGTAACAGGGTGTCGCGGCTGCCGGCCCACCGCGTGATATTTAAATCCCTAGCTCACCCCAGTACCTTGCCCTGTCGTGGTTTCCTGTTCCTGGTTTCCTGAGAGTGCTTTTTTTTTTTGGCTTTTCCCTGGTTATTCTGAATTCTGGTTTCCCTGACTTGGCTTGTGTAAATGGTATTGTGTATTTTCTGGCTTCCTTGACCTCGGCTTTCCCTTTGACCATTCTCTGTCTCTAGCGTATTAGTCCGGCCCTTCTAAAGTCCGGTTTACGCTCTGTCCTTTTATTTTCCTTTTCTTGCCTATGTATATGTTTACGTAGTTTCTGCGTGCTGGACCAGACTAGTAGTCGTGACATTGGGATTAAACTGATAAGAATAGTACTACTTAACACACCACTCCTATCTGGTGGCACATTAGATTGCACGCGCAGTGCCCCAAATTTGAAGGAGGACCGACCAAGCATCTTTTTCCATCTCCCGGTTCCTAAAATCGATGCCATATACACGTCCCCTGATAGGGGACGTAACAGGGATTAAACTGATAAGAATAGTACTACTTAACACACCACTCCTATCTGGTGGCACATTAGATTGCAAGCGCAGTGCCCCAAATTTGAAGTAGGAGGACCGACCAAGCATCTTTTTCCATCTCCCGGTTCCTAAAATCGATGCCATATACACGTCCCCTGATAGGGGACGTAACAGGGATTAAACTGATAGGAATAGTACTACTTAACACACCTTATAATAACGCAGAGAGAGACAATGCAGAGAGAGGAGTCTGAAGAAGAGGAGTCAGAGGAGGAAGGTGGCTTTGAGGAGGTGGAAGACCAAACACAGCAGGCGTCCCAGGGGGCTTGTTGTCACCTTTTGGGGACCCTTGGTGTTGTACGTGGCTGGGTGGAGGAAGAGACCTTCAATGACATCAGTGAGGACAAGAAACGGGACATGGCTAGCTTGGTATCCAACCTTGTGCAAATGGGGAGTTTGCTGTTGTGCAAATGGATTGTTTGCGGTTGTTTGCGGTGCGTTAAACGGGGAGCTTGGTCTGTCACTGTGAAGCGGGTGTAACCCTTACACTACCTGATCGATACAACATCATACCTGATGTTTTAAAGCATGTTATTCCAAACAATTTAGGAATGTTAGGTGATTTATGTCCTTTATGGATTAAAACCAGACTCTGCATAAACTATGTAATTTTCCATGGGAGTTTTGCCATGGATCCCCCTCCGTCATGCCACAGTCCAGGTGTAAGTCCCCTTGAAACAACTTTTCCATCACTATTGTGGCCAAAAAGAGTCCCTGTGGATTTTAAAATTCGTCTGCCTATTGAAGTCTATGGCGGTTCGCCCGTTCGTGAACATTTGCGGAAGTTCGCGTTCACCGTTCGCGAACCGAAAATTTTATGTTCGCGACATCACTACTGTCTAAATCTGTGTTAGTGAGCACTTCTCCTTTGCCGAAATAATCCATCCACCTTACAGGTGTGGCATATCAAGATGCTGATTAGACAGCATGATTATTGCAAAGGTGTGCCTAAGGCTAGCCACAATAAAAGGCCACTCTAAAATGTGCAGTTTTATCACACAGCACAATACTACAGATGTCGCAAATATTGAGTAAGCATGCAATTGGCATGCTGACTGCAGGAATGTCCACCAGAGCAGTTGCCCGTGAATTGAATGTTCATTTCTCTACCATAAGCCATCTCCAATGACATTTCAGAGAAATTGGCAGCACATCCAACCGGCATCACAACCGCAGACCACGTGTAACCACACCAACCCAGGACCTCCACATCCAGCATCTTCACCTCCAAGATTGTATGAGACCAGCCACCCGGACAGCTGCTGAAACAATCAGTTTGCATAACCAAATAATTTCTGTACAAACTGTTAAATACCGTCTTAGGGAAGCTCATCTGCATGCTCGTCATCCTCATCGGGTTCTCGACCTGACTGCAGTTCATCATCATAACCGACTTGAGTGGGCAAATACTCACATTCAATTGTGTCTGGCACTTTGGAGAGATGTTCTCTTCACGGATGAATCCCGGTTTTCAATGTACAGGGCAGATGACAAACAGCATGCATGGCGTCATATGGTTGAGCGGTTTGCTGATGTCAATGTTGTGGATCTAGTGGCCCGTGGTGGCGGTGGGGTTATGGTATGGGCAGGCGTATGTTATGAACAACAAACATAGGTGCATTTTATTGATGGCAATTTGAATGCACAGAGATACCATAATGAGATCCTGAGGCTCATTGTTGTGCCATTCATCCACAACCATTACCTCATGTTGCAGCATGAT